GTTTAATTATTTAAGTGAATTTAAGTTTAATCAGGGTTTCCCTTTTCCATGCCCTACACCAGGATGAGAATGAGGAAAAGGCTGCCTATTGCTGTTTTTAATTCCCCCTTGCTTCTGGAATAGCTGCCCAGGAGTCCAATTTAAGAAGCGAGAAAGAATAATGAGGAGCCACCTCTTAATTACGCAATCAGTTCCTATTTCTTCTGGGATTTATCCTGCTCATGGCTGAATCTGAAGGAAACCAAACAGGCTATGATTATAAATTTAGCAATGTCAGAAAACTGCTGGGTTCATATTCTGAGGAAGAGGAAGGCTTTCTAAGATGGACAGTGCAGAATTTAAGGGAGTGTCACCAATGGCATCTTAAAATCACATACCAGTCAGGACTGTGGTTAGCTAAGGACATTGACCCTAACTCTGTATGGTGGCACTCCACAAATAGGAAGGAAGATGGATGTCAGAGTCCCACCCATGTCCTAAGCCTCTTCTGTCTTCATTTGTGCTCTGTCCTGCTTTCCAAACATGAGTTTTATTTTCATTATCATAGACAGCCTTTAATGTGTCCATTTTTCAGGGAAAAATAAAAGAGGAGGAAGAGATAGAAAAGAATGGATGCAAAATACCTGTTTGTCTCATTCCCTTTAAAGTATAAGTTTCCTGGAAACTTCACTGAGAGAGTTTCTTTTATTTTTCATTTATTAGAGCCAAATCATATGACCATGTACATCAGATACTCTCCAAGTTGGACATAGTATCACTTCTCTGAAACAAACAAACAAACATTGAGGTTTTTCTTAATATTAAGAAAGGGAGAAAGATATCAGATAAATAGAGGGAATTGTTTAATCAGTAAAAGATAAAATGGATTAGTTTACTTGAAACTGAGAGTTTGTGAGAACTTATTCTTCCTGCTTGGGCTCATTCACTTCTAAAACTCAAAATGGTGTGCACTGTTGAAAATATCAGTATATGTTTGCTTAGAATCAGCCTCAACCTGTTCTTTGAGCTCCTAGATGAAGTCATTACTTGTCTGACCTTGTAGTTCAGTGTCTTAAGGGTCTTTAAACACAGGAGATTCAACAAAGAGTCAATGTTTTTTTATTCAAACTTCTGAAACTTCTTTATTTAATAAAATGAACTTATTAATTTTTAGACAGAACACCAATGATTTTTCCCCATATGTGTAACATCTATTTCCACAGTTTATCGCATAGGCGCACATTCTACCATCAAGACAAAACTCAAATCAACAGTTTCTCCTTATTTCCATTTAGACTTGATCATCAATTACCTTCTACATTCTCCCAATTCATATTCCCTAACACACCTAACCACACTGAGTAACTTAAGTGATGTTGCAAATTGTTAATAATGCCACATCATCTAGTTTAATGTCTTCTGTCATTTCTCCATTCTTCTCAGGACAGATTGAAGTTCTTTACCCAAAATATGCAACTTGCTATGTACTTATTGCTGAACTTCACTCCCATTTTATTAACCATTTAGTCATTTTTCTTCAAAGAGTTGGCCTTCACTGCCTGAAACATGTCTAGCTATTTCTTGTGCTAAAGATGTCTGGGCTCTCCCCCTAGAACGTTGATTGTTGGATCCTCCGAGTACCCTGGTTTGCCCTGTTCTCATTGTTGCATGTAGGAACAGCCTCTTCGAACTCCAGTAACCCAAGTGTAATTTTTGCTGTGACTTGTGTTCACCCCTGGGAAACTATAAGTGTCATAAAAATAGTATCAATACATGCTTTATACTACTGTTTACAAACTGTTAATATAATACCCAGTGCATAACAAACATTTCTTGAGTTGATGACTGAATTATACTCACTTATGAAGAATACACTATTAAAATTAATAATTTAAGTAAAATATAAAGTGACAAATCAAAATTTAAATGCCAATGCATTTTGATTATTGTCTGTTATAGTTGCCGATTTTATTTTGTAAAAGGATATGTTAAGTGGTCTAATAAATGGCAAATATGATCCCTTTTTTCTTCATACGTATTTCATATTATATTGTTCTTTGTTAGGAACCACTGACTCTGTAATAGCAGACTGCCTTCCTTGACACTACAGATTTCCATGCAAAGTGAGAAGTAAAATGTATAGAAGTTTCAAAATGTAACTCAAAGTAGTGTAAAATGCTATAAAGTGTATTCATAGGCCTTGGATTTGAACCCAAGTAACACACACACACACACACAAATAAAAAAATAAATTCATAAGGGATTAAATGAGTTCAACTTGCAGATATCAGAAAATTCTTTGTGGACGTATAGTCAGTCATTTGCTGAGATTTGTAGATTTGTCAGGGCCTGGATATAGTGCGTATTGAGAGAGGAAGACATTCCACTTAAGCAAGTGTAAGAAATGCACAGGAAACTTGGGTCAGTGAGGTTAAAGTGAGAAGAGAAGACATAAAATTAAAATAACAGCTTAGAACTCTACTTTTTAGGACTCTAATGCATATGAAGACCTTCTGGTCGAGCAATAGAAAATCCCACAGCACTAGGAGGAAAGCTGTGTTACGTGAGAAGCATAGGATAGGGCGGTGTGAGCAAGAATATGAGAGACCTGGAAGGGAGATGTCTCAAAGGATTATGATGTTATGTTGTAGCTAATACTAACAGGACTTGACAGCTCCCCTGACAGAAGGAGTTGAAGAGATCGTTATTCAAAACATTTTGAATTGAATGACTAGAACAGTTGTGCATTTAAAAGAAATGAACAATACCAAAGGATTACTTTTGGAAAGAAAATCATGTAGTGATATTAGGAAAGTGCTCATTAGGATGGTAACAGAGCATCAAGTAAAGCATGGCAGGAATAAGGCTTTGGGAGATTTATGTACTAAAGGCACATCCCTGAAACATTTATAGTTAACAGAAATCTAATGATTTGGGCTGGAAACAAGGTATGTTGGTGAAGCACTTCCTGTGAAAGCATTATGACCTGAGTCTGACAACCAAAACACATGTCAAAGGCAGGCATAAGTGGCATATACCACTGCATGGAAGGCAGAAACAGAAGGATCACTGTGCTTTCCAGGCCAGCAGACTAGCCAAGTAAGTAATCCCCAGGGTCAGTGGGAAATCCTGTCTCAAAAAGTACGGTGCAGTTGTGGATGATGGAGAGATGCCTCAGCAGTTAAGAGCACTTGCTACTCTTCTAAGGTACCAGATTCTGTTGTCAGCACCTCACAGCAGTCTGTAAATCCAGGGGATCTAAATGCCTTTTCTAGCCTCTTCAGGCCACACACACACACACACACACACACACACACACACACACACACACGGAGGGAGGGAGGGAAGGAGGGAGGAAGAGATGTGAGGGGAGACAGGGAGATAGAGACAGAGACAGACAGATAGACAGAAATGGAAAATTTTTATCATTTGATTAATTGTCAAAAAGTATTGAAGGATAACTGGAGATTATTAAAGAAAGGCAGTGGGAATTATCAAACATTAGGATAAAATCAAGGTGGATTATCAAAGGGCATGAGAAACCTTGTTGTGGGGAGACTTGGAAGGGGAGTTAGGTACAAGTGTACAGATGAAGTATAAGTTAAAGAGACAGATGCTGAGGAATTACTACTAGGCAGCTCCTTTCCTAAAACGAAAGGTGCTGTGCTGCCATGGAAGGCATGTGGGCCTTGAAATTAGAGAAACTAGAAAAAAGTTCTGGTCCTGTGTGACTGGGCTATAGGATTTTAAACAATAGCACAGTCCTCAGAGGTTCAACTTCCCATCTGTAAGGTGGAGACAACACCTGACTTCACGGGCTATAACAACACAGGATTTAGTGTATGAGGAAAGGCTACTGGGAATAGGTGTATTTGTCCATATATCTTTTCAAGTGGTCTCTAATCTGCTTTATATTACCTTTCAGATTGTCATATGTTATGGAAATCACTACCTGGATTCATGGGTGGATATGTTAAATAAATCATAATAATAACTTCTCAACAAGGGAGTCCGGTCCATTAACCTTTTCATAAACAGAGATGAGTATCATAGAACACATGATCAAGACAGAATGGAGAACACAGAACCAGAAGCACCTGTCAGTGTAGATGACAATGATACATGTCCTGGGGAACACAGAAGGATCAGTGTGCCCATCATCTTTCATTTCCTATGCCCTGGTTTCTGGCAACATACTCTGTTAACAGTAGATACTTGAGCAATCCTTTCTAGTCAAATAACTGAATCTGGCTGTAAGAAAGTGTGACTATTGGGAAAGAAACAAAACAATAGGTAGAAATAAGAAACTAAACTGGGAAATTCAGGAGTCTAGTAGTTTGTGCACAGTTAAACAGGATTATATACTCCGATATAACTGTCATAAACACAGTGTTGTATATAAAAGGATAAACATTTCAACAATAACAAAAAAACAGAACAAGCATCAGAAATAAAGACAAAAAACAAAAGTTAAATGTGAACAAGCCTCATGCAATTTTTAACTTTTTTACACCAATAAAAGGCATGAGTACTTATGCTCTATCCACTCTTCTTCATGAAGAGGAAAGGGCAAAGATAAAATCCTTAGTAATGTCTTTGTTTTTATTAGTAGAGCACGGGAAAGCAGACAACAAATGCTGCAAGCAGTGATAACGTGACTAGCCTTCAAATTTAAATGGGCGCTGTGGTGTGTAAAGTGAAGAATGACACCAGCACCTGCTGCTGATAGAAATGTAAAGGAGAAAGGATCAATATCCAGAAAGAAGCCATAATTCCATTTTCAATAATTTCAAGATTTCTTACTTGGAAGCTTATCTCCTACATCACATCTAAATGTGTCACACTAAGTTCGATAGCTGTAACACTATTTTAAATACTGGTGTGTCAGAATGACTGTCTGTAAGGAAAGTATGTCTGATGGAGATGAGACCCTGTGATTTACACTCTATCTTAGAAAGTCTGATTTTTCTGGCTAGTAATTGACATCTTTCACTTTTCCTCATCCTATGATTGCTTCATAGGCCATGGCATGTGTTCCTGTGGCCGTTGCGTTTGCGAGAAAGGATGGTTTGGCAAGCTCTGCCAACACCTGCGGAAGTGTAATATGACAGAAGAACAGAGCAAGAGTCTGTGCGAGTCAGCAGATGGCACACTGTGCTCTGGAAAGGGTGAGTATTACTGCTGGAGCCTAGACTGGATCCCCACTCAGATATTTGGTCCCCCGTAACAGCAGGTAGCAACCAGTTCCTCCAGAATAAACTTTGTCTGAGAAAAAGCCACTCAGATTATGTGAACCCTGAAAGCTGAGCATCAGCAACAGGTGTGGGAACTGAGGTGCTTTTTGTTTGTGCAAAAGATGGAAATATTCCAAACTTTTCACAAATACTTTACCAAATGAAGATTTCGTTCATACTAAAACACAGGTGTGATTTTTAAAAATATTTTGTTTAGAACCTCATCATAAACAGGCCTTTGCCTGGATGAATCACATCCAGTTGCAAATACCATAAGAACACACATCCTCGCATAACTGTCTTCTGAGAGGCTTTATCCAGCAGCTGATGGAAACAGATGCAGAGAACCACAGTCAAACACTAGCCTAAGTTCAAGAAGTTATGTGGAAGAGTACAAGGAAGGAAAGAAGGAGCCTGAGGAGTCAGGGACACCACAAGAAGACCTACAGAGTGAACTAACCTGGGCCTATGGGGCTCACAGAGACTGAACCACCAACCAAGGAGCCCACAGGGGCTGGACCCGGCCCCGACACATGTGTGGCAGATGTGATGTGCAGCTAGTAAACATATGGGTCCCCTAACAAAGGGAGTAAGGCTGCCTCCGACTCTCTTGCCTCTGCATCCCTTGCCCCTAGCTGGGCTGCCTAGTCAGGCCTCACTGAAAGTCCTGACTGCTACTGGAGTTCAGGGTGGGTTAGTACCCCTTGGAGGCCTCCCCTTCTCTAAGAATGAGAGGGGAATGGGGACAATAAGAGCCCTTTCCCCTAACGGGGGGGAATTAATAAAAAGAGCCCACACAGCTATATTCACCAGCACAGTGATTTACAGTAAATCTATTTCCTAGCCTGAATTTTATGCAAAATTATTCCCTTAAAATTATAAACACTGAGTCCTTATTAGAGTTTCAGAATTTTCAGTTACATAATTTGCATATAAAAATGCAAACATGTTGAGAGATGCTAGAGAGAGGCTCAGCAATAAAGAGCACTTGTTCCTAATACCCACACTGGGCCTCTCACAACTGCAGCTGTTACAACACCAGCTCCAGGGCTCAGGCGTCCTCTTCTGACTTGCTCTCCTGTGCACTGAGTCTACACATCTGTATTTTTAGTGAAAGAAATCTTTTTTAAGTGAAAAAGCACAAAAGCTGATTAATGATTGACTCAAAAGTATTTCCTCACAACCAAAGCACACACAAATCCCTCCTTCATGCTTTCCCAGTTATTTGCTTTGGGTGGTGGGAGTACACTGGCAGATCAAGGAGGGTTGAGAACTTAGATGTCTAAATCGATAGTGTTCTTAGGCATGGCTAACTTCAAAGAGGGAGGTAAACGCTTCCCAAGGCTTTCCATTTTGTGTTTCATTGTTCATGTTAAAGACGGGCAGCAGATGGTTGAAGACTCTTTTCCTCCTTTCTGGTGGTATCTGTACAGGGTTATTGAAGGGGCTGTGGCTAAGCTCTTGCAACTGTAATTCGTCTTTGTTACAGAGGATAACAAGGATGTTATTGCTGGTCTCCATGGAGAGTATCATCCCACAACTCACCCCAAGAACCACAGTACAAACACAGCATGTGAGAGACTGGGGATTTCAGCATGGTAAATGAGGAAGATATTCTCACATCCTTCCATTCTACATCCTTGATAAATCTTACGAACTTTTCTACATGCTGTATAATTTTTCCAAAACTCTCACAGTAATACCCCCATCTTGGTGCTCTCAAAGTATATCTTGAGTTTTTCCCTCTTATGTTGGTACAGGTGTAAGCCTGAAATTAGCTTGTGACTGCATGCCATGATACTTTGTAGCCCACACCCACTAAAATAACAAGTGTGAACCAGGTGCTTGCTAGGAACTGTGAATAAAGCCATCACTTCAGGAGACGATGAATAAATAGCATTTTATTTCTTATAAATTTATAGCCAAGACAATAAATCACTCCATAGAAAAATTTAAAACAAGATACATTGTTGTGACCATTATAATAGATGATGTCATTAGTACAATAGTGAAAACTGCCTGCTGGGGTGTCAGGTTGCAGCATTTTGTCAGGCATGATGTCTGTAAAAGAAAGTAAATAATGGAATGGGGCCTTGCCCCCAAACTGAAATTGTTTTTGTAAATGATCAAGAGAGATATGCTTAGTGGCCATGTTGCCCCTAGGGTTAGCTACCTTTGCAGAATTGATGGTGACATTTGTTGATTGGCTTGGGGCTTTATTTATTTATTTACTTACTTATTTGGCTCCATGGTGACATGTTTGTCTTAATAATGTTACCCTAGATTTAAGTATTCGCTCCAATATTCTTACAGAGATCATTATGGGACACATCTTAAATTGTATCTTTAAGCTGTCAATGATAGAGCTACATCCATATCATTAGTATGTCTAGGGTTGCCTGATTCATCAGTTATCACCATTCTGTCTGCTCAGAAGAGAGAATGAGTAAATGTTATACTTTTCAAGACAAACCTTATCCTAGTGTCCTGGTTGCCATGTCCAGATGGCTCCTGTCAGACAAGTAGGAAAGAACTGATTATTTATGAAACTATGTGGATGTTTTTGCTGTGACAGTCATCACAGATAGATAGATAGATGGCTAGATGGTGGATTGAATCAGATTAAGGTAGCCTGTTAACTGTTTATGGAATGTGGGCCAAGACAATTCCCCCATTCTTTCTGCTTTTTTATTCTCATCTTTGAAGGATGTTTGTTTCTTTCTCCTCCTTAAATCTTTGGAAGGTTATACAAATAGATGAAAAGTTTGCCCAATAATAAAAGCCAGCGAAACAAGGCCATTGTTAAAAGTCCTTTTGGAGAATAAAAACAAATGAATTAGTGGTGTTGTGGTTTCAGGCTTATCATTAGAGTTCCTGACAGGATGGGCCAGCTGCAGTCTATGACTGGGTTGGGCCTCCAATGGGAATGGATTCGAGCCTGTGGAGTTGAACAGTTTCTCACTTCTGGGTGTTCAGGAAGCTTACATTTGCTAAACAGAATCTTCTCCTCATGCTTTCCCCCTTTCTAGAGAGGGATAGTCTACCCCTGTTATTGGTTCTTTATAAGAGCAGCCAGAGCTCACAAAAATAGAGGCCTATTATAGGTCTTAATGACTACACACATTGATTTAGTACCACATGCTCTATTGTTCCTATTTATGCAGGGAGTAGAAAATTTCCTACAGTCATCAACAAACGGAAACAACAAACCTGCGATTATGGTGACCACGAAAATTACTTCCATGGCATATACAAAATCAAACCCCTGTTTTATTATAATCACTTTATGACATCTACTATATTTGGAGCTAGAACTTGTCAAATACTCTCTGCACATAAACCATATTTACTTTAGCTGAGCGTGCTCATTTCAGGATAATATCTCGCTATTCTTTGCAGCTGAGTATTCCAGAAACAAAAGAACTAATAAGAATCACTTCCAGGCGAGAGATAAGTTCAAAGATAAAGTGTAAACTCCTGATAAGAATGACGATGCACATGAAAGGCGTCCTAGATATGACATAGTAATGGCATGAGGATATAAAGTCTTTTATTTCTGTTGTAGAAGTAACTTCATGATGTGAGAGACACTATGTTAGAAACATAAAAATCCTTAATTCTTTAAACATGTAATCCCTTTTCTCTTATGTAAATAAGCCACTAAATGTGATGTCCTTTTGGGAACATCTCTGAGATAGACAATGGAGTATCCATTTAGGTGTTTCACTAACCATTTGTTAAACAAGCAATTGATCTTTCAATATTTTCATGCCTAGAAATTTTAGATAGAATATTTAAATTTAAGAAAAAGTAAATTGAAAAATGAGGACACACTCTGCCTTGATGAGGGTACAAGGTCTTTATCTCTTCCCACTAGAGCAGCACATAAGCCCCTGGGAAACCACCAGGCTGTCAATTATGCCTCAAAATTTATCTTCATATATTGCCCTGAAGAGTCTGTAAGTCAACCCAGACTCTCAGGAAAACAAGATTAAGTGAAACCGTGCTGCACTTAACAAAGAAGTAAAAATAAATATAAATAAATGTCTTGCATTATAGCTGTTCTGACTACTTGCTTGCCATGGATGTATGATGAGGAATGGCCAAACTAAAATTTTGTTGTGGGAGATTCTTTCACCTAAATGCATGTACCTGTTTCTATGGCATGAATTTACATAGCACTCAATTTTTGAGGCACTTTCTCCTCTGTGTATTTAGAACTTAATGAGTTTGGAGGTTTCCTAACTCATTAAAAACCTTTACTACTTCACTTTCTCTCAAGAAGATTGGTGACTTGCTAATAACTATCAGAATCTTTTAGGAAAAGGAAATTATATCCACAAAGAAAAGCTAAACAAAGAACTGGAAGAAGTCCTTTTGAGTTCTATGGTTGTCCTAGCTGTAGCAAAAACAGCTTTTTCAAGCTTGTCTCTAAAGACACTTATACAAAAAGAAATTTCTTCTCTTTGCGATATCGTAAAACTCATTTTTATTTTAAGCATGCCATTAGTAAGATTTCCAGATACCCCCAAATAGTTTAATAACTAAATGGTTTTTTTTTAATTAAATTGGAGGTAACCAGAAAGAAGTTGTTAATGAGTAAGAAGATTGACTGGACCCCACTTGGGGTTCATTAGGACTGTTCTTGATCATAACTAAAATCCTGAATGGCAAACCTGAGGCATCGACCAAATATGAGGGATTGTATTTGCATTTTTAACACTTCACCTTGCCATTCAATATAAAGTTTGTGTGCTCCTATTTCAAGAATATCATGTAAACAAAATTCAAAGATGAGCTCAATAACCTAGTAATTATTTAATTACAAAATGAATTTTCATTTAATATAATTTAGTATTAGATTCTGTTAGAAAACAGAAACCCTGAGATGAAATTCATTTAAAAATAAAGAAACAAATTAAACATCTATTTTGAATACCTTTTGGGGAGAACATCTCTAAGGATGAGCCACATCCTCTTCCATTGACATTTCAGTCAGACTAGACCAAGAAACATTTGCTCAAGGCTAATTGCAACTGTCTAGATCCATAATGAAGGCTTTCCTGGATGACCTTTACGAATTACAGTAAGTCAAGCTCCCTTCTGAGAAAGCAGCTATTCAATAAACTTTTACCTTTAGAAGATAGGTTATTACAAGTCTATTGTCAGCATGTCAGTGATATTCTCTTCTTGATGGAAACCTTTATTTCTCTGGTGACAGTGAAAAACACCCTTTTTGATTTCAGGTTCTTGTCACTGTGGAAAGTGCATTTGTTCTGCAAAAGAGTGGTATATTTCAGGGGAACTTTGTGACTGTGATGACAGAGACTGCGACAAACACGACGGTCTCATCTGCACAGGTGCAGTACTGAACTACACTGATTGTTTTGTGCCACGTATGAGAATAGAGTGAAATGACCCCACCATGCTTTAGAGAGGGCAGCTTCCACATACACCAGGGAACAATGTCCATGTGTAATGACTCTGAAAGGAGACACGGACCTTTGTTAATACATAACAACATTTTTCCCTAGAAGAATGCAAAAGAATGAAGACAGAATATAAAATTGTTGAAAAAATTCTACAAGGTAACCTGTCCTATGAACTCACAGAAAGACAGTGATACAAATGCAGAATTATCTTCATAACTATTTCATTTTAACATAGTCCTGAGGGCGTGGGAATATTATTTAAAGCAGCACTCAAATGCCACAATTTGGTGTATTAACATATTTTTGTTTGTTTATTTTTTTTAGGAACTTGGTATATGTATGAATGTGTGTTTGATGGGAGAGATGACAATAGAGTATAAAAAAGGTTTAACTATGTAATATCATCACAAACCTAATTTATTGAGTTCTAATGATTGGTATGAATAGTACTGAACCAGATTAAATAATAATGTATGTGTTCTCTTGAAGTTATTATTTTAATTATAAAATGTACTTACACTTATTATGTTTTAGCTGCTTCAGTATACCACTAGTAAAATTCTTTCTCAGTAACCAGAATATTTTTGTAATCAAACTCTTTTATTTAGGTTACAGATAACTATTTTGGCACAACATTAAATTAGACCATCACTTTCTGCCCACCTTACTACACAAGGATATTTTTAGAGCTCTCTGGCTTTCCTAGGTTCATATCAAGGGGCTTTATGCTTTCTGATGTTTATTTATAGGTCATACACGGTTTGCCCACTCACTGAAGGTAAAACTGTGATGGGGGCACCTAGCTGAGAGATGTAAGTTGTGTACAACTTATAAACAAATTATGGCATCCAAAAGATACCATTAAGGATGTTAAAATGGGTTTCTCTTTGGTGCCTCATAGTATAATAATATCATTGTACTGTAAGACACGTTAGAGAGAATAAATGAAATGTTTTTTTCATGAACAGTTATGATTCATAGCCACATATTCTAATGGTACACTCTTATCATAACCGTAATTCCCATATTTATTTTATTGCAGGGAATGGAATCTGTAACTGTGGAAACTGTGAATGCTGGGATGGATGGAATGGAAATGCCTGTGAAATCTGGCTTGGCACCGAATATCCTTAATAATCCCACGGGAGACAACTGGATTCTTATTTCTAGGCCATTTTAGAAATTCAGAGGAAAACATGCATATGTAGCACCAGGACAGACCATTGTGTTTTTCTATTTCTGATTGCCTAAATGAAACGGTGGTCTTCATTAAAATTGACTTTAGCAAACTGATATCATTACACCATAAAGGATTGTTCTCCCATAATTGACATCAATGTTTCTCAACTGAAGAGGGCAGTTTTCAACCCACAAGACATTTGGCAATGTCTGCAGAGAGTTTTGTAGTCAGACTAGATAGGGTAAAAGTAGTTGTGTTGTGGACATTTTTAGAGGTAGTGGCCACAGACAATGCTGAACACCCTACAGAACATAGAAAAGCCCTCACAACGAAGTATTTTCTGACATCCAATATTTACCAAGATGTAGTAGAAAAATGCTAAATCACATAGTATTTAGTACTCCATATCCCGACACCGGAAACACTGTATCAGAATATAAGAATAATATTTATTCTCACATAAACCAATCAATCAGTTTTTTTTCCAGGATTCCATATGGCTCTGAATTTGCATATGGGGACAATGATGACAGACACATATGAGGTGTGGTGGTAGGCTGGGGGCTTACCAAATCACAAGGGCTTTAAACTCACAAGAATCTCATATAGGGAGAAACAAGAAATGTACAATTTGACATTTTGATAGTGATATAAGTTGTTTATATTCTGTGTCAACATCTATTTACTCATGGAAAACAAAAAAGACTTAAAAAAGGAATTGGAATATCCACTTTATATCCCAGGAACTAACAGATCTTGTTTTTAAAACTAGGAGTGGGTTACCTGTGCAAGAAATTTGATTTTTCATATTTAAAATAATTTATATAATGTGTCCTCTGAAGAAGACAGTGTCTAGTTAGAAACACAAAGCTCCTCATACTGCATTCATTGTCCTTAAAAAGACTTCCTCAAAGAAATGGTGGGGTTAACAAGAATGACATCTACTTCAGAAGTTCAGAAAAGGACCCCAAAATTCTAGAAATGGCTTAAATCAAAATTACAAATATTCACTCACTGATAGGAACAAAATGTTTATTTTCTTGGTGAAATTTTCCTCTGTATGAAATTCACATTTAATTATGAAAATGTACAATATTTGGGGTTCTCTTGCATATATACACTTAAATCTACTTATACACATAATTGAATCAACCTTTATTTATAGCTAAAAAAAAATACCTTTACTCTAAATGTGAATTATTTGTAAAATCCAAAAATAACATAGCAAAATCATTTCTGTATTATTTTAAGGTGAAATTTTACTTGCAAATTTTATATTAATAATGTATTTTTAGAATCATGGCTTGGACTTTATTAGGTTAAGTCACCAAAAGTAAAGAAAACATGCCTCCACTGTGTTACTTAGAAAACTAAATACTGAAAAGTATTTGAAGAGTCAATTTTACTGGTGCTGGTTTTATAGTAATAATAAGTGTCTCAGAATTTAACCTATTTATAAAATTGTTGCCTCTATCCTGAGATTAGGGGACCCAGAAATATTAGTTGTATTTCTATTACTGAGCTGGTAATCAATGCCAGTTTTGTTAAATGAGGGAAATATAAGCAGTTAAGGTATAGTATGGATGATTGCATTCTTTCCACTTCTCTATATTTTCATTCTCTCTGTATACATTTTAAGCCAGAAAAAACCAATTATAGTAATTCAGTAGCAGCTCTGATGATATGTTTGGTGACTTTCAAACATGAATCATTGACTGTCCCTTCATGGTGCAATGACCTTCAGCTCTTCTTACTGCAAGACTTAGACTTCCATAAAGGTCTGGACAATATGTATTAGAGAAACCATTGTGGGATCTGCTGCTTTAATTGTTTAATATTAATAATGAATAAATAAAAATTCATCCTGAACTCTCAGGCTATACCTAAGCAGGTTGTGGGCTGACTTTAATCACAGCTATGTGTGGTAGTTTCCCAGACTTTGCTTCCATAGAATTCCTTCAGTTCCCTATGGCCTCTTTCATCACCTCAAGTGTACCTTTTTTATTGTTGTAATTTTCTCTCTAGTTTTGATCATTTCTATAATTAGCATGTATCACAGAAGTATGTGTTGCTTTTCTTATATTTTCACAAGAAAAAGTGCTGAAATATCCTTACCATTTAAGTATTACTAGAACAGAGTTTAGGCAGTGGAGACATTATTATTCCATGAAGATCAAAACATGATCCTAATTTTTAGACAACATGAAAATATGTTGTAAGTCACCATGTTCTGGAGTTCACTGTTACAGAGTACAGAAGAAAACTGTGGTATATGCCTCACAGTAACCTAGACTCCAATTAGTTCTTTTTCTTAGAAAACAGACTTTGCCATGTGTGTGTGTGTGTGTGTGTGTGTGTCTGACTGTTTGTCTGTCTGTGTTTGGCTATAGCCATGACAACATCAGTATATCTATGAAAAAGTAGTAGATTTCACAGACTTTTATTTAAGAAAAATCAAAACAAACAACAAAAATGTCATGGTGACAGGCAACGACATAACCTATTCACCACCTAAATATGTTTCTATACTTTGACTTTGACTTTGACTACAAGATAGAAACCACCTTTTGAGAATGTCAAGCAAGGACAAATTTGTAATGAATAGGAGAAAATAAACAAATCTCTTTGGCTTGCTTGTGGTTTTAAAAAATTACAGTGGGATCATGATAATTGAAAAGGGGACATTAAGTTCACCAATGGTGATGATCATCACTGCTTGTTTAACAATCCATGACTGAAGAATTCCTTCAGGAGACTAATGAAAGCCAACAAAAGCCCTGAAGATAGGAAGCAAACCATTGTTCCTACTGACTTTCAGGAATCTGGAGTTCATCTGGACTCCAGCAGCACCAGGGAAGAAATTATCTCTAACAGCTCAAATACAAACTCAGAATTAGACTGAATGAGAACTAAGAATAAAGGAAAAATAAATACAACACAGTCTTAATTTACAAATTCAACTATCACAACTTTGAAACCCACTCAGTATTCCAGATACCCATCCAGGCTTATGTGCCATTTTGAAAGCCACAAACCCTTAACGACCTATGGCCCTTATCCAAAACAACACAATTTATGTTCTGGATTTGATTACGCTTGTATTTGAGAAAAAAAAAACTTAGACATTTAGCCTAATTCTTTCCCTAGGATATAATATTTTCCTAAAATAAAATTGAAAATAATCTTCTACTATTTTCAGTTTTTCTAAATTGAGCCATGGTCAGTTTTGTCTCACTATCCTTCTTTGAGGGATTGCAAACATATATTATCCATGTAATATTCAGAAGAAATCTTAACAAAGTAATTCATACTTCCTTAAAGGAACAACAAAGGATTTGTGGTTGTTGTTGTTTCAGTTTTTGTTTAAAAAACCAAATTTGATATTGGATACTTTAGGAGGAAAAAGATTGTTTAGTAGTTGAATCATTAATTAAGTAGTTAGATATGGTACATTCTGCTTAATTTCTAGGATGCCAACAATTAGAAAGATAGAGAAAAAGTTGTCATGTCCGCTGTACATCTAGTCCTCACCCTAAAGCACCCAGGACAAGCAAACGCGTAAATCAAGAATCCAAATTTTTCAGAATACATAAGGAAAGTGTCCTCAATTCCCTTTTACTCTTTACACAGGTCAGACTGTGTGTCTTTCATAATTATTTCCAAGGAAAGTAGTAAGAAATCTTAGGAAATAAACTTATTGAGAACAAAAAGAATTATGCAAAGGACTGACTTTGAGCACTGCTGATGGATAATCAAAGCAATCAGCTACTATAACGGGGTGGCAGAACTAATCTTCCCCACCAGATATGCATGCAGAAAGAATGGGTCTCCTAGAGACTTGGTACAATGGACATACATACAGGGAAATATAAAACACACAATCTATAAATACAAATTGTTCCATCAGATTTACTATACAGAACATCAATGACAACAGATTGCATCTAATAAAAGCAAACTTAATTTATGAGGGAATGAATGATGACCTTATTCCAGAAAATAGTAAGAGAGGTATCATCAAAGAGCTAAAATTTTCTTTGGCATGGTAAAGGGGAAAATTGAGCTTATCAACTTATTTACATGAGAGTTTTCTGTATTTGGAGTGATACAATGCCATTTTGTTACATAAAGTTATGGTTTTCATGTGCCTTCATATGAGTGTTTTATTTAATATGTTGTATCTGTGAATACAACAAATGATAAGAAACATAAATTGTACAATACAGACAAGCTTTCCATATGTATATCAAATAATACACACCAGCACTTCTGGATACATGGGTCCTAGTACATGCAGATCATTTGGTGCTTTCCTCTTCCCATGCAACAGGTGAGACCAGACACAAAGGAAATGCCCTAACTAAATCAAAGATAACAATATATATCTAATATATCTAAATATATATTAGAAGAAACCACTTGAATACCTACTTACAGTAATAAATTCTCTTATGGACAATGCTTGGAAAACAAAACATTAACATAAAACTCAGTCAATTACAAAAATAAATCTTGCCTTGATTTTAACCACTAATAGGTCTTGAGAACAGAACTCTCAGGTAGTGTTGATTATCAAAAACAGAAAGGTAGGCTGGTTTGGGGTAGGTGTGCATGTGGACGGGTATAAGTTGTGTCTTAAGCCCAACTAATGGGAATTACAAATTATTCATATTTTACCACATATTATGGGATTTATGCCTTCCTTAAATAACCAGTCAATGAGTTCTGTCTAATTATGCATAACACCAAATCAGGAGTGATTAAAGGAATCATTTTGTTGTATTTGAAATTTAACATTATTAACAATAAATTTACTCAAACCTTATGATAATGTTTATTTATTAAAATGGAATCTAATATGAAAATGAAATAAGCATGAACAGTTAAATTTATACTGAATCTTTAATTAGCTAAGCAGGCCAAAACTTTTCTACTCTGGGCAAGGGCTGTCATGGGGATTCATGAAAGCAATGAGAAAATAATCTCCCAGCAAGTACAGTGCAGATGAGAGTAAACGGCAACTGGGTTATCCTGCCACATAAAAATAACAACAGGCCAGTACACTGATACCACATCAATTGTTTTCTATAAAAGGAACTCAGTTTGGTCTTAATGAACTCTTCTGAGAAGAAAACACGGAATTTTATTAAGTGTACACACAGTTAACAAATATATTTCCAAACAGTTCAGTACTAAACATTTTGAAGCTCTTTATATCTGATATTGAACATTTGGTATGGAATCTTCAAACTGTGTCTCTAGCAATCACAGACTTTTTTAGTATCTCTAAACTTGGAGCTCTACAGAATTCAATTCAAGATGAAGTTAAGAAAGCAAAAGAACAAAATTAAATGAATAAAATGGCCCGGACCACTAATGCTGGAGTGTTAGGTTGTCTTGAGTTGTATTTAGGGTATTCAACAAACCATATTCTAAAATCTTGGCAAGTCATCTCTGACCCAGCCTGCTGGACCACACAGAGCTGAGATAGAGATGTGTATTAATGACACCCACAGTACCAGACCGAGCATGCTGAGCTAAAGAAGGAGGAGAAGGAGGAGGAGAAGGAGGAAGAAAGAAAAGAATTGAAAGGAAAGGAAAAAAAAATCCCCTCGTATGTCCAGTTTAAAAACTTGTCATTGAACACCAAAAATATTAAAGTCTAATTTATACTAATGTGTGCATTGCTGCTGCAGAAAAGAAAACAACAGCCACCTTGCCCATGCTTGGTTGAGGATAACTGGAATGCAGCCCAACTTGGGGTGGCATTGAGTTATCTTCATTAAAAAACAGGAAGGAATGGGTAGGGAATGGATTTAGGTAGCATAATTCTTATAGATTGTAATGATATAGTTTTTGTTCTTTTTTCCTAATAATGAGGATTAATAGATGAAAAAAATGAACCTTAATCAGGCCTACAAGGCCTACAGAATTCTTTGGACCCACTTTCTCAAAAACCAAGTGGGTCTTGCTCGCTGGGCAAGGCAAATGTTACCATTACCAGTAAGCTTGTGATATGTATAAAACACACACACACACAAAGAAACTAAGAGGGAATGCCAAACACCTATCATGGAGAGCTTCTGATGGATTGTGTTTGACCCTTGTTCCACCCAGGCAATGCCTACCTTGGGAGCACAGCGTCTCCTACTGGATAGAGCATATATGTGTGTTTAATCGATAATGTGAGCCAAAGACAACAATCTTAATCTTTATAGATACGATTTGTAGTAATAGATTTAGAAGGCTCCCTGATTCCCTAATTGTTCTCCAAAGTAAACCAACTGCAACATTGAAGATTCAGATGAACACAATCCCTGCTAAAGGTCACAGACAGTGGAGCAAGCAGCCCTGTAAAAATGGAAAGAAGAGAAATCCATGATAGCACAGGTTTACAGCGTCTAACTAGAAATTATTCAGTATTATTTGTGTGCTACAAAATTGAAATTAAACACATGGATTTCGCTGAAACAGGACTCAAAAAGGATTATGGGTAGCTGTCAGCAGGCAAGGTATTGAGTGTACTTGTGAAGTATGTCATTCACATGAAGTGTCACAGTCACAGAAAAGATATTAAAAAGGCATTCCATATCTGGTAGGGCATTCCATGGTCTGAGTTTAGCTGGTTTGTCCAGGTGTCTTCTTGGTGTGGGGGGACCACAGGTTGAGATTTATCCGCTTGCAATGAAGGAAGTCTGAGGCAGAATAGAACAAGCATTAGCTTGCTTGCTGGGGCTCTTCAGCAACAGGAGCAGGAATGTCTAGTAAAGATAAATCACTCCACTGTGCTCTGGACAAGTAAGTCAGGACACCTGAGGATCTGGCTATGTGGTCTTGCTCTTGTTGACTGGTTTGCCTCCATTCATTATTGCAGATGCACTTGTACTTTTGCTTGGTGTCACCCCAGCTTTTGGGACTGTTTCACCAACATCATGCAGAGATGGTTCTCGGTACATGGCAACTAGGGATGCAAAGAAAGGGAGAGGAAAAGAAGAGGTTGTCTGGTTACCATGAAAGAATGACACAACACTTTATACATAGACCCCAGCCAGTGAGTGTCTATTTTAAGTGAATAAACCTAATCCCATTGATAACAGCAGTTTTAAGGCAGTTGGTTCCAATCCATAAATTATGACATCACTTTCAATGCACTCTCTAATTTATACACTAAAATGTGTGCATGTATATGTACTTAATGTTGTATAGGAATGTTTAAATAAGGGCTATGATCTCCTTGTAGGCCTGTAAAGCAAAGCACATATAATATTAAACATGCATGAACACATGTGCACATGCTCCCTCTCTCTCTCTCTCTCTCTCTTTCTCTCTCTCTCCAGGAAAAAAAGCATTTGTCCTAATTATTTTCTTTAACTACATTCACTAAACTATTTTTCTCTCCCATGGTTTAAAAGACACACAGTCACACTGGGTTCCACTGGCAAGCTACACACTTAACCAATAAAGGCTTTGTTTTGCTTAAACCAGAGCCTTTTATGAATAATCATTTGTTTCCTTTCTTACTATCATAGAAAGGTCCTTTAAACATCTGAAGGCATTTGTATTTATAAATGTTTTGATTCATTATTTAAAATCAGATAATTGGTGTCGGCAGGATGGAGGCATGAAACAGTAAAGCAAACTGGGACTAATGCCTGAGAGAAATCTGAGGAACTATCTAAGTTGTTCCAGTTCAAATGAGCACCATAGTTCATGTCATTTTTTAGAAAATGCTTCTACAGAGTTCTGGGAAGGACTTAAGAGCATCTGACATCTGGGGAAACTAGGTGACTTAAAGGCCTGTGCCACCAGAAATGTGACCCCATCCGAACTACCCAGCAAGCTGCTTGGGCTTACATGTTTCAGAAGAAAGCCTCGGAGGAGTCAGGACCAATTCTATGAGTTCTCGGAGGGATCTTACATCTGCATTGATGCATCACATGTTTTTTCTTGGTACACTTACGAAGATAAATGTACAAGGAACTAAGTGACTTGGAAAGTATGTCAATATAGCCAGTCTTTAACCCACAAGCTGTCTCCAAGTGATAACCCCTCACAATGAAAACTAAGTTTTCTCCAGCGAAGTCTCACTGAGTGCACAAACCACTCTTAAGGCCTAACCCCAGGCTCAGCAGGATATGGCCAACACAGAATGAACTCAATGGCACTTATTGGAGGTTCTTTGCCTCATAATGCTTTTTCAGAGCTTTAGGTATTTTTGTTTTTTTGTTTCCTTAGAGGCCCTTTGTATATATGTGATGGTTTTTGGTTTTGTGTTTTTATGGAATTTCTCTGTGTGTGAATTCTCTGCATCTATATGTATTTTTTGTTGCTTTTGTTGTTTTTCCTTGAATTTTTGATGTGTTTGTTTTTTTTTCTATTTTGTATATTTGTTTTAATTTTATATACATTATTATTATTATTATTATTATTATTATTATTATTATTAAATACCTGTTTCTATTGTAAGGATAGAGAAAAAGAAAAGATGTGGACTTGGATGGATAGGGAAGTGGGGATAGTCTGAGAAGAGTTAGCAGAAGGAAGACAATAATCAGAATATATTGTACTAAAAATCAATTTTTAATTTAAAAAGTAAAAAAAAGAAGGTAGTCTCCATTCTTAAAGCATCTCCAGTCTCTCTCACACACTCAAATTAAGATTCAGTAGTATCAAAGCTTTGACTTACACCATATATAAAATAGAGCTGAGTGGCAGATGTGACCACCTTGGATTGTTTCTAGAAACAATCATGCCCCTGTGGAAATACCCATCATTGTTCTAAAGTTTTCATTTTTCAATTATAATTTGTTTTCATTTTTCAATTATATAATTTAGATCCTATTTTGACTTGTAAAGTTTTGAAATTACTCTAATAATCTCCACTCTTTTTTTTTATTAATTACACTTTATTCATTTTGTATCCCCCCATAAGCCCCTCCCTCCTCCCCTCCCGATCCCACCCTCCCTCCCCTTTCTGCATGCATGCCACTCCCCAAGTCCACTGATAGGGGAGGTTCTCCTCTTCTTTCTGATCTTAGTCTATCAGTTCTCATCAAAAGTGGCTGCATTGTCCTCTACTGTGGCCTGGTAAGGCTGCTCCCCCCTCAGGGGGAGGTATTCAACGAGCAGGCCAATCAGATTATGTCAGAGGCAGTCCCTCTTCCCATTACTATGTAACCCACTTGGACACTGAACTGCCATGGGCTACACCTGTGCAGGGGTTCCAGGTCATCTCCACGAATAGTCCTTGGTTGGAGTATGAGTCTCTGGGAAGTTCCCTGTGTTCAAATTATCTTGTTCTGTTCTGTTGCTCTCCTTGTGGAGTTCCCGTCCCCTCCAGCTCTTACTATAATCTCCACTCTTAAGCATTGTGTGAAGTAATGTTTTAAAAGAATAAAAGAGCATATCCCCTTGTTTTGACTAGAATGCCTCTGTCCAGTAATTGTTTTAAAACATGATAGAATAGTATTTTTCTCTTTACATAGTTATTTAAGGATCATTTTGAAGAATTAGAATAATTTAAAAAATGTACCCATACAATCTGAAAATAGACAAATAATTAAAATTCCATGTGAAAAATTGTATATACTTATCATCATATATTCACAAGAAGATAGTTTAATTTTAATTTTTAAATGATTGATTTGTAACACTGAAAAAATTTTCTTCTACATGCATGCACAGGCGCGTTTGCGTGCACACACACACACAGTAAAGTATATAGGAGGGAAACATTTTTCGTTCCTTTTTTTCCCTCTCTCTGGTGTCCAGAACTGAAAATCCTGGCTCTTGTACATGTTAAGCACATGTTCTACCACAAACCTGCACTTGGTGGCTCTATGAACCTTACCAAAGCAACGTAAGGAGAAATCTGTGTAGAAAGCACTCCAATAAAGTAGATTGCTGTGAGCCTCTGGAAGGTTCCTGTGGCCATGTCAGATATATCCATGCGATATTAAAGCACCTTCCAAGAGGGTAATGCATGGGATGTACTCACCTTCCAATGGCTTGGGTAGAAAATGAGCTGCTGGTTTCGTTTTCTTTACTCTGTTTCCTTTCATAGCTTGCCCTTCCTTATTTAATCCCAAAAACCAGGCTCTGCCAGATTCCTGTTGCCTGTACAGCATGGATGAGTAGATTACATAATAGTTTTCAAAAACAGACTCTTTAAACTTGCATTCAGGGGTAAAAAGTTCCTATTGGGAGAAAAGAAGAGAACAATGTTAAAGTAGAAAGCAGACACTTCCAGTGTTCACTTGTTTTGCAAATTTTTTCTGAAACATGACCATACAGAGGGATGACTGGAATTGAGTCCTCCTGTATGCAGGAGCTTTCTATTCATAATTATCAATACCATAGGAATGTGGAGAGTCTGTAACTGGTGGGAATATCTATTCAAGGATTTATCTTCTTTAATAAGGAAATAATAAAAAAATGAAAGCAAGGCTTGGTAGCTCATGCTTGTAATTTGAACATTCAGTCAGAAGGATGAGGCCGGAAGATTGCTGTAAGTTTGAGGACAGCCTGAGCACAAGTTCCAGGACAGCCCAGCTACATGGCAAGACCCTGTATCAAATCATAAAGAGAAAAAGAAAAATGAAACGTACAGTACTTTCACATGACAATAGTGCAAGTCAATCAGCATCTGAGCACTTACCACCTTAGTGTAGCCTCATCTATCTCTGATAAATTTCACAAAACATTTAAGATATTATACGTCTTACATTATTCTCACAGAAATAACTTTACTGTCATAGTAAGTAGACAGTTACTTGTATTACTCTTGTTACAGGGAGACAACTTTATACCACTGAGGAACATACTGAAACCTCAAACAAAATTTGTATCATACGGCACACAAGCTGCTCGTGAGGTACAAGGAGTTGAGGTCAGGCGTCATGCTAGCTGATGGAAGCTGGAAATAACTACCCAGTTACATGGTCTTGAGCCCTACTGAAACTCTTGAAGATGAACAGCAAAAGCCTGCCCTGACTAAGAAACACAGAACAGAGTTGAAAATCGTACAGTATGTTAAACAGATTTAGGCTCAGTGCCATCTTCCTGTCATCAGTGAGCAGCACAAAGCTTTAGTACTATTATAAATACCACAAATATTCACAGATGGTTTTACATCTTTGTGAAACTATTATTTTTGAAAGAAATAGTGAATATAACTTCATGCTTGTTTATAAAATGCATAATAATGCATCTTACAAGAATTTCTCACAATACCCAATTAAATAGAACTTTAAAATTCTAACCACCCAGTGGCAAGCTATGCAAGACCTTAATGAATTTTTGTAGCAGCTATAAATAGGCTATTGCCTGTGCTATTTTGTTTATCTTTTAGAAACATATATATGTATATATATATATCATATAATGTATATTATACACATCCTTTAAGAAGTAAAAAAATCTTTGTAAGTTGAATTTATGTTAATTGTTATAAGAAACGTGTCATAATTTCATATAGAAAATGCCTTTCTATATTTTCCAAAAGAGTGAGAGTTATCAAACAATATATTCTACAATATAAATTTATTCAGTGTGCTTCATAAATTTTCTTCACCAGAAGCTAATTTTCTGGAAAGAGATGAATTTAATTAATTTAGATGCTTTTCATGGCAAAGATGACAGATGCAATAACCAATAAAAGATATTAGCAAAACAAAAGGCAGGGTAAGCCCCTCCCACAGGGATGTGCGTTATTCTCCAACATGATTTTAATAAGATCTTGTCCAAATAACTGTCCTGGCCTACTAAATTTCTGTTCTACAAATACACTGAAATATCTCATCAGACTCAGAGTCTAAGATGTGTCGCAGAGGAAAGCAAAATGAAATGTTCCAAACCTGGCTTGTCCCTTGGGATGGTTAGCTTTTATTGCTAACTTTACACAGCTACAGGTTACTTAGGAAGATAATCTCCATTAGGGATATCCTGTGAGCATGTCTGTGAGAGACTGTGTTAATTAAGTTAATTGATGTGGAAAGACCCAGCCCAGTGTGGGTGGCAACGTTCCCTGAAGAGTTTGTCCTGAACTGTAGTAAGATGGAGAAATTGAGAAATCAAGCTGAGTACGAGCAAGCAAGTGAACCGCATGCATTCCCTTCTCTCTGTTCTTGATTGTGTGTGTGATATGACTAGCTACTTGAAGTTCCTGCCTTGATTTCTCCATTATAGCCTGTACTTGTTTCTAAAAGTTGCTTTTAGTGTGGGCATTTTATCACAGAAACAGAATAAAACTAGATGAGCCCCCAACAGACTAATAAATCAGTCGTATTGGTTGAAACTAAGTATTATAGGACAGATAGATTAGACTTGTATCCTTGAGATGGTCCAAAACACCAAATCATGTTATCTGCTTGCCTCAAAATCATCATAGCATATGATGCTAACAGTTGGCCTGCTATGCTGCTCAATGTGGGTAGCTGGCATTTGCCTTTGGGGGCATTGGATCTTTAGCCAGAGTATGGCTCATAGATATCTGTCTCTTATCTATGTACACTGTCCCCAACATTGTGAGTGTAGATAATTCCTTATTCTTATCTCATCACCTCTGCAAAAATATCCAAAATGTGCCATAGGATGCTTACACTGCATTAGTAAGAACTGTCTCTACTGTTACTGCTCTGAATTCATTGACATAAACATGAATTAAAATGAGATTTTCAGTATGGTAATTCATTCAGTGGACACACTAAGGCCTCCAAACACTACTTTTTAGTTGTGTGCTAGCACCCTTTGTGTTTCCATATGTTTGGTATGTACATATATGTTGGGGTGTGTACATGTGTGTATTAGTCATAGGTCTACATCAGGTGTCTTTCCCTGACTCTCCTTCTTATTTTTAAAGACAGGGACTTCAGTGAACCTGTAACTCACTTGTTTTGGCTACAGCAAGGTCTCCCCCTCTCTGCCCTTCCAGTGCTAGAGTTACAGACCCACATTGTCATGGCATTTTTGTGAGGTTTGCCTGTGACTTCAGAGACATATGTATCTTCTGCCTTTAATCTCAGCACCTGAGAGGCAGAGGAAGGTGGATCTCTGTGAGTTCAAGGACAGCTTGGTCTACGTTGTGTATCCGGGACAGCCAGTTAGACCCTTTCTCAAAAACAAAGCAAAACAAACAACAACAAAATAAAACAATCAAGAATAACTATATAATGCTTGTGAAAACTGTTTGCTACATTTGGTCACTTTATTCCCAGCTAAATAATCAAAGTGAATGCACACACACACACACACACACACACACACACACACATACACACACACACACACTCATATCACCATTCTAAGATGCTCTTATATAATACAGTTTTAAGACTTTTAAAGAACTCAATCTATTCCTCAAATGTTACAGTCCAATGCAATATCAGTATTCTAAAGAGAACTGCTAGAAGTACATACAGGTATGTCTAATTATTATACATTTAGTGTCATTTCTTATAAACATTCATTCAATATGTAAATGAAAGCCAGTACAATGCATGGGAAGATTATGATCTGTATGGCCAGACAGCGAAAATGAAATGACAATTCGCTTTTTTTTTTTAGCTGAGTGATCTTGGGGAAAATGTTTGACTTCTCTGGGTTTCAGTCCACATTTCTAAACTGAAGTTGAAATCATAGGATAAAAAGCTGTCTGAGAGAACCGGTGTGAATTAGCTCATTTAAGAACATTAGGCATGTCGTAAGTACTCACTAATTGTTATGAAATACATTATTCATTGTACACAGTAAAACTTTTCTGTACAAATTTACTTCAATCCTATCATATTTCCACAAATCAAAACCAAACAACCTGATTAGTCAATGAAAATGGCTTTATATCAAGTATTGTGCTCACCGCAGATATGACAAAAATGAATAGAATTAGTAATTCATTTCATTTTAAAAGGTCATATAAGTACATATGACTATAGTAACTGGCATCTTGGGTGATAGAAAGATTATCGGTGATGTGCATAGCATTGTGACAGACCAGAAGCAGGAAATGCCACAGCACGTTTGGAGAACCATGAACAGTTTGCAGAGATACAGGCATTCAGGAAAGAAACAGAAAGTGATGTGGATGGCATAGCAGGCTTGTGTATGTGATAAAGGGTTTTATATGCGGCCAAAGTGATGAAACTTATTGTTAGTAAGAAACATGGCAATCTTGAATAAGCAACACAGGAATTATGTAAATACAAAGCCACTGTCAGTGTGCATTACAATTTTAGAATATTAGTTACATTTCAACACTACTATGTTGATTTCCAATCTCTGGAGAAATGGACTTGCAAATGTGAAGTAGGGCAATGTCATTTTCTGAAATTCCTTCATTTTCGCATACCTTTTAAATCTGGAAACTAAGGTACTTTGGTCTCTAGAACTAAATTTAGTTGTTTCTCTATATAGTTGTCTTTCCTGCCCCATCAGTCTCAAGTCACAGCCAGCCAGGAAAGCTGATTATCCATCCATTAGACACCTGGCATTATTTATCTGACTACTTACTGGTTACCCTTACCAATGGCTAACTGCAGGCCACAAACCAAACTTTACAATCTATTTCCCTTCTGCCTTTCCCTAAAAGTATATGAAAATGAACCCCCACTCTGCCACATGAGCCTGAACTATATTCAATATCTCTGCCATGCTGCCGTCTGTCCACAGCTTTGATTACTTTTAAATAAATCTCCTACTATAAAGGCAGTCTGTCCTGGTATCCCCTTTAAACCTAAGATAGGAAACCTTTCAAGAAGTTGTCCACCGAAGATGTACATTTATGTCCACTTCAGTATTAATATTAGTATGATGTGTAGAGATTGGCCAAATGCTACCTAAATTATAAGCTACAAATCTGAATTCTAAACTTTGTGATACCCAAGAAAGAGAAAGAAAACATGCTGTGCAAATTATTCAGGAGATGAAACGTTTCCTTGATGCAAACTATGAAGAGACCTATAAAAGTAACATTGATCAACACAAAGGGAAAAAAACAAGTTCTTGATAGTAGAAACAACTGTAGTTTTGTATTTGAGTTCCCCAGATGTTTTTAATTATTAAATTTTTATTTTTTATATTAATTAATTTTATATTAATTATACACTTTGTATCTCAGATATAGCCCCCTACCTCATTCCCTCCCAATCCCACCCTTCCTCCCTCCCTCCTTCATCTCCTCTCATGGCCCTCTCCAAGTCCA